TCTGCAGCCATTAAAGCTACGGTTGGAAAGCGAAGAGCATTAGCTTTTCACCACAACAATGGATCGGTATTTGGCTCTGGAGGTAAAGAAAGATAAGTAGCTAATTCCATTTTCCTCCTTTCGATTTGATTGCACTAATTTTCGAAAAACTTCTAACTTGTCTTCTTTTTTTGGTGTTAATATCACATTATCAATATGGTATGCCAAATAAAAATTTTTAAACTATTAGTGGATATCTGGTGATCCTCTTTGTTGAAAGTTTCGAATTTAGTTAATGGATCAAGAAGGGCAGGGATAGTTAAAGATTGTGAAAGATAAGTTCAGTAATTTATTAATTTGTTCTTCATTACTTGCGCTATCTCATAATAAATACTAGCATTCTGAATATAAAACTCAAGATATACAAAAAGTTCTTGAATGATCAATCATAATGATCCTTAAGAAAGCAATGAAGTGTTTGATAAGATCAATTTTGCTTTATAAAAAGATTTAAGGAGCTGAATTATCTTTAATTATTTCTCAATCTTCAGGTTTTGAATATTTTTTTTAGCTCAGGATGGGATTGCACAAAATTACTGGTGTCATTCTGGATTTTGACAAGTTGTTCAAGTCTTAGGTAAGTAGAATTCTATTTTATTTCAACATCAAGTATGGGATAAAGAAAAGGATAATTTAAAATAATATAGATTCTTTTCATGTCTTTCAGAATTAAAAATGAGTTTCATATCTGTTACAAAACTACCATGCTTTTTTTACTTGGCTAACATATTTTTTTGGTCTTCTTAATGACAAGGTTTAAAATATATATCATATAATACACATATATAGTATCAGTACTTATAGTTCTTTGAAAATAATGCAAACTGATTTAATTATTTAATGTGTTATTATTCATAAATCTGATTACTTAATATTTAATTTCTAGATTTTCTACAAGCTTGAAAAATATTTCTTCAAAATATTTGTTTGTATGAGAATCATACAAGGGGATGAAATTAAGAAAAAGAGTTTTTGTTGTCCATTCAGCATTAATCCAATGGATAATAACTTTAAAAAACGATTACTGAGTACATGCTGTTCAAATATCTAAGATAAGGATCAATTTACTTAAATACTTTTTTAAAATATCATGTATTTTGCTTTAACCAATTCAAATTGCTTTCTAATATTCACAGAAAGTGTTTGATAGCAAATGACTTTGTAATGTGAATCAAGGTTAGCAAATAATTTAATAAAGTGAGCTTTTTTGATTACAAAAAAGACTGCTAACTAGTAATAATTCATTTTTATAAGTTTTTATTTAAAGATTTTATATGAGTTTTTAATCTTTTAGCTGATAAATACAAGAAAAATGAGCAAATTTCATAATATTTCATCAAATATCTTTAATATTTTGGTGTTTATTTTCAAAATGCCACATTATTGTTAATAATAATATATTTGCTCTCTATTTATTATTACAAAGCTTGCAATTGCAGGAACTATCTTCAAGTATATCAAAATAATTATGAACAGGAGCAAGTTTATATTTATTTTTTGATTGGTTTTTATCGTGGATTATATTACTAATAATTATATTATTTTGAAATACTTTTTCAAGATTATTGTCACACTAAAATACACTATTAAGTAAAAGAATAAACAAATTGTATATTGAATCATGAGGAAAATTACTGTGCAACCGATCAAACTATATGTTTGCTGGTAACCTTTAAGATAAGCAATTTTTTTTGTTGCTTGGCTTCAGCTTTCCAAACTTCTTTTGTAAGTCACTCATGGCCAACCAATCGCTGATCTTCTGAAAATAAAACCAATTTATTCAATCACTGATAACTATATTTTGATAAGAATATTTCCGTGTGTAATTCTTCGTGTACAAGATTCACCTATCGCTATTTTGTTTGGTTCGTGATAAATTATTGAAAACATTGCGTGTTTTCTTCTTTTGTTATGTTATAGATTGCAAATTGCATGAGTCACCATAAGGTATAGATGTTATCAGTTCCAACTAGCTCAATTGAAATTTTTGGTTCTCTGCAAAAAATTCTCATGATTTGTCAATAGCGATAGTAGTGTTTATAGTCGAATCTTAATTATCGACTCGACCAAAAATTGACTAAGATGACTTAGTCGAGTCGCTTGGTCAGTCAATAAGTCACGTGTAATTAATTACGTGATTTTATAATCAACCAATCATAATATTGATCAGCAAGTGTAACATTATAAATTTTCTTTTAAAAAAGCAAGTCATGAATAGTATCAATACTTAAACAATTGAATTTGTCTGTTATAACATTTCCTGCATCAGAAAAAAGCTGTTCAGAGGGTACCAAAGTTGTTGGTATACCAAGAAAAATCTGTTCTTGTTCAGCAAGAAGAGAGTTTATTGTCTTCCATCGATTTTCAGAATTGATTCTATCCCTATGAAGGATATTACAGTGACGTGATGACAAAGTATTTGACTGTATAAATTAGAAAGACTAGATTTTTTTCTTTAACGTTAAGTTTAAATTATACAATTTACGATTAATAAACTATAAAAATCATGTGATTGGGAATCCTTATTATATTGACTCGACTAGGTCGATTTTTAAAAAAATTGACTGACAAAGCCAATAAAATCGACTACAAACACTAGTCAATAGTAATTCACCTCCAAATCTTCTGATAAACCACTTTGATTGAGAGCTTTAAGATAAACAATCATGTATTTCAATGAAACCGTTTCACTGGTCGAAAAAATTGTAAAAAATGAAAAAGTTGCATTTTTCACTATTATTTAACACTTTACCTCGATCAATGTTTGAAACTGATTGACCCAATTATTGCTTAAGCAAACGGTATTTCACCAAATAATCTGTCGTAAAATTATTTTTTTTGCACTAATAGTCATGGAAATAAACATTCTAGAAAGTCGATTTTCGTGTTCTATTACATGTGTATACAGCGAAAATAAAATGCTGCTGTCTGAGATTATTCAGTAATAACGAGTATCCTTGGTTTAGAAACATACAATGCGAATCATAAGTATCTGACTCAAAGTAAATGACATAATTTTTGTTATTAAGTACATTGAACTTGGTATATAATATAACCTCTATTGGTATCTATTAATACCAAAACAGTCTTTCATTTTACCATTCAATTTTATAGCGAATTTATTGGAAAGATACTTTTATTGAAATTTGGAACCCGTTTTTGCAATTAATCCCCAACTGGATAAGGGTGATTACGTAATTATTTCCATCAGAAATCGATGCTTGAAAAAAATTATAAATTGTGTGACATATTATCTCGACATCCAACAATCCAATTCAAACAAAGATATTACCATTCAGTTTTCCTTGATTAGACAAATCAAAATGGTGGTATTTTCGCTCAAATCAGGTTGCTAGACATCAAGATATTACGTCACAAGTGATTAAATCGTTTTTTTTTTTGATAGATTTTCTATTCGATCATCTAAAATTTGTTTATAATAGATTAATATGAGTAAAGAAGTAAGTAAATGTCCTAATTGTGGTAATTCTCCTATCAGTTGAAGGTTTGCCGAAGGTTGTAAGCCATTTAATATTGTCACGGGTTGATTGTAATTAGGTGTAATTGATAATTTTCCTGCAACAATGGTTGGAGGAGAGGGAATAGACTAAGTGATATTTGTTAATTTCTAATTCCTGTGCTGATATCTATAACTGTAGAGAGGGTTTCAAATAAGAATTTGGATGATTCAAGTTTTATGTCAGATGGTTTCAGGTTCTAGATTTTACGTGACGGGTGTATCAATAATATTTTTCCTATTAATTTGCAATTGTTGCTTATTCTAGCTAAAAGCCTTAAACTATTCAATACAAAGCACTTTTCAATCAATCAATATGCCATTTAACAATACCAATGCCTTTTCTGGATCAAAGGACTTAATCACAACCAATTACAACAATTTTACAAGTCTTAATTTACTTGGAGAAGAATTGTACTCAATTAATTTTTTATTAATCTCTATCTTTTTGTTTACATCATTTAAAAATTTATCGCGTAATACACACTATTGTTTAAGAGAGAATTTAAAGATCGAAAAAAAATAGAAAAAACAAAAGCAAGATAGAAACAGACAATAAAATATAATATCACATAGAGATCAGGATAGAAGTTTGGAACGAATAGAAATAGATTAACGGAATTGGGCTAGGTGAGTTTTACCAAAATTTGCGAGATTAATAAAATTATCTCCAACTTGGTATGGTGCAGGAACTCTTAAATCGACAATATGTTTCAATTTAGCATGTTACTACGTAACATAGAGTCAAAATTTTCAAAATCTGACCGGTAACTTTCTAAAGAACAACGTTACCACCAGTCAGATTTTGAAAATTTTGCCTCTATATTGAGTAGTAACATGTTAAATTGAAACATATTGTCGATTTAAGAGTTCCTGCACCATATTAATATGTAATATCTCGATATCCAGCGATCCGATTCGGCGTAAAGGTAAGATATTACTCTAAAAGCTTTACAACACAAAGTCCTGCTTCTCAACATTATTATATCAGATTTCATGAGTGAGTGTTGTAATTTATTTCTTTACAATAACAATATAAATTTTCATTTAGTATGCAATATCTCGATATCCAGCAATTCGATTCGAGCGAAATACCACCATTCAATTTGTCTTGACTCTCTCAATCGTCAATATGACGGGATCAGGCATTTTTGTTGATATATAAGAGGATTGAAATTCCTAATTCTACATTCGAAAAATTTTATGTTCTAAAAAAATAATAACCATTGAATAACTGCATTTATCATCATTGAACTGACGTTGATACTTTGCAATGGAAGTTTAAATTGATAATTTGATGTAAATGTTGATAAGTGGAAAGATGCAGGAGTAAGTGATAAGAAAAAGCGAACTGATCTAAATCAAAATTTCTATAAATCTGGCCTAAAGTATTTTTCAGTGACTAATAATTATCAAAGTATTATAGACACAAAGTTAGAAACAGATGGAGGATAAAAGACAGCACGCTATTAATGAACAGTTTCCTCAGGAGGCAGTTGACACTAATAAAAAAATTAATACCATTTTTCTCTTACCACCGCCAACATTGCCACAAGGTGCAAATTTTGCGCATCAAATACCAACATTGCCATCTTCTTTGATTTCGTGTGCTTTACCACCTCTCCATTTAACTTCTGTAGCGTCTAACGCAGATCATACCCTACCACCAATTGCCTTCTACGATAATATACGAGAAAATGTGTTACCGCCGAATACTTATTATTCTGCATATCATAATGAGATTTGTAATAACTTTTCATCAGCTTCGCCTTCTCAAACTTCCGATTTCAAAGTATCAAGCACATCAAAGACGATAGCAAGCACTTCATTTACGACGGATGAAGAGCGTCATCAACGTCGTTTGGAATTAAATCGATTGGCTGCGAAACAATCTAGAGAGCGTAAGAAAATTTATGTTTCAACTCTCGAATCTCGTGCTTATAGATTGGAAGAAGAGAATGCGATGTTAAAGTCATCGATTAGGCATGCCGGTGAAAGATTAATGAGCATGAACTTGGGAATCGCAGATAATCATAGGTTGCATTTGTTGATTGTTGATTTGAAAAGAAAATTGCATTAAATTATATAAACATTTTGAAATAGTGTGAATTTCTCGTCATGCGATTAGAAATTTGTAAACTTCTCAAATCATATATACACAGTGTTCAAGTTATTTTGAAACACATGCCTGTTTACAAAATAAACATAGTTTTAGCATTTCTCACATCTGGAAATGCAGATTGACACTTTTTTTGCGACGTATTTTAAAGTGACTTCCTGCTTTCGATACTTATTTCGTGACATAAGCTGGAATTATCAATAACACATAAATATTCTTCAATAGTATTCGATCGATACGTACTCCACTCGCTGATCTTCTGTGATAAATAAAACTACGAATTCAAAGAGAATTGATTTTTGACGGAAGGTCTAATGCAAAGTTATTTAGCGTAAGGTTCGTCATTCGAAGAGATTATAAAATGGAGGAAGTATTTTAACTTTACATACGCAACGGTAATTGCAGTAGTTACAAAAATTTGCTTATAAGCTCGAGTGGCATATTTTTCACGAGAAACCTCTTGACTGTAACTCATATTGCTCTTTTTACTGATTTTGTTGCTCCATAAGTTTTCCAGCGCGCTAGTCTTCTTTGCCTATCTAAATTCTCGATATCGATAAACGATAACAATAGAAATTTATTTATTCAACAAATGGAAGTTAAATGCACGTCTAAATAACTACCGTTATTGACTAAAACATAGCACATAACAATAACGATGATCGATAAAAAAATTTCATAAAGTGAACCGGAAAGATGAAATATAGAATTTCAAATACTCCTAATTGCAGTAAATGCTTTGATTGTCGAGAATATCACAAACGAATTTATAAGGCTGAATGGTCAAGCGAAAATAAAGACATCGACAGTCTAATAAAAGAATGCGCAAAGATTAATGAATATTTCGAATGGATCCCTTTTGAAAGATTCACTAATATTAAATATCTTGCAAAAGGAGAGAAAACAAATTTAAACGATCTAAAGAACACAGAGAAGTTGTGTTGAAATCATTACATAATTCAAAGTAATCAAGTTAGAGTTTACAAACGAGGTAAAAATGAACAATTTCTAAGAGGGTTTTTTTGTTTTTTAACCCAATTAAATTTTCAAAAATAGATTCAGACTGCTCTGAAGTGCACTCCTTGAAAATAAATAATGGATTATGCGACACGTGGTGATCTTCGCAAATATGTGCACAAATATGAAAATTGACTGAAGAAAAATTGTATCATTTATGCGATGCTATTATCTTAGAATTCACCAAGAGGGATTTGTGCATCGCGACTTTTATCCCCAGAAATATAGTGTGGAATAATGCTCAAACTGCTGATTTGTGGTAAATATCTTATATGCGACATTTATAAAAGGATGCGACCTAAGATACCAAATACATGTACGTAATAGTCCGAATGGTGCAAATTTATTATTGAAGATCCTATTACAGTAAACAGACCAATGGTTGAAGAACTTATCGACTTCATCACTTCTTATGGCGATTTATACAGATACAACTTGAATACTTTTCATTTCAGTCCTATAGCTTGAAGAGATTAAAGGGTGTCTTCAAATAGAAATGCAGAATGGAAAGAACTTGATAAGTAGATAAAAACACAAAAAAGCATTTCACAATACAAGCAAAATCCATTCAAATGCAATTTACACCTACTACAAAATTAATTTCAATTCCAAATGATACAGGCACTTTTTATTTAAATAAGACATATTGACATTTCATAACAATTAAAGTTATACAAATGTTTAGGCTTTACGAGTGTCAGTTTGTATGTTCCGAATGAAGGTCGTTATTTAATACTTTTCAGAAAATACATTAAATCTGAGATATTGATAATGATGTCGAATCGAATCTACAAATGACAGTTTGTATGTTCCAATGAAATGTGTGTTTAATATTCTTTTTTATGAATTTCTTTACTATTTTTTCTTTAACAGAGTCAAAGAGAATGAAGATATATCGAGTGTCTTACCAGAATAACAACAGATTCGTGATGAAATGCCACAACAAAATAAAACAATACGATTGTAGCATTCTTTTTCCCAAAAAAAAAACTGGTAACTACTTTTACTTTATACTTGACTGAATTAATTAACAATAACAAAAATTCTGTCTTTTGGTTATTGATCTAAAAACATTAGAGATCGTGATCATTGGTGGTTATATTTATTACTTTTTTTTTATTCTTTTAAAATTATTTTATGCTTAGTATTCTTCTAAAATGACTCCTTTATGTGCGTTTAGATTATATAAAATAACAACCACCTCTATATGACAAAAAAATGCAAAAATGTCATTTGATACTATTGTGTGTTAAAAGGAAATAAAGGTCACCATTTATCTTTTTAGTTCTCGTCCAAAACGGAACACGAAAATTAACTTTCTAGCATTTTTATTTCCATGACTATTAGTTTGGACAAAATAAAAAAGTGTTCAT